TGTGCGAGTATACTTGGGTCAGACTAGGACGAATACGCCTCTGAAAATTCATGAACATTCCAACCCGATATCATTTGATGACCGCTTTAAACTTCGCGGGGTGCAAAATAATAATAAAAAAAAGCAATGGGGGGTTGCTGTTAACAAGTGACAAATAAAATTGTGGATTTAGCACACACAAACGGAGGAGGCAATTCCTCAGGAATAATTTCAGCCTTTCCACCTTGGTGAAGAAGGAACACCAGCGAAGCTGTACTATGGTGGGAATGAAGTAATGGGCCGGCCGCAAGTCGGCAAGCCAGAGTGCAAAGACCGGAGAGGTTGTCGCCATCAATGCGCGATGGCGGCAACCATACAACCGGGAAGCCGGTTGTCTGGTTGCCGCCGTCAATTATAGATGGTGGTAGCTGTCCAGAGTTTTGTGTCATTATTTGTTTGCTGACTGACATGATGGGAAACTGACACTTAATAGCTCCGCTGTACAAATAAGCGCGTGTGTGTGTGTGAGTGTGTGTGTGGGGGGGGGGGGGTAGTTTTAAAAACATACTCTGTTGTAAAGAGGTTCCTCTTTCCCTCATCTTTGGCGGAGACCAAACAGCATGGGCCCGGAAACTACTTTGTTTGCAAAAACACTCTTGCCAAAAAGCATGTTTTTGTCGTGCCAGACGGTCGCGCAGTTCCTCGCGAAGATGCACTACGAATAATAATACGTGCTTTTCAAATACTTGGCTTTCACTGAGCTTGAACCTCCTGCAGCGTGCATTTTGCACCATCGAATTTGATTTCCTTAGCAAGAAGCCACAATGACTACTAGCATATAGTATGATGACGTCACGTACATGCAATGCTAAACAGTTCAGCTTTCTGGTGAAATGTGATGTTCGCAACACTAGCAATAGATGTCCTACTTGTAAAGTTTTCCAGTATTTATTGCAGTCTCCCGATGAAAGATGGCAGCCCAGAAAAATGTTAGAGCGCATGATTATTGAAGCACAGTGTTGTAAAGCGAGGGCCCAAAACAAGTGCAGGTAAAACCGAATGCAACATTAGCCTCGCGAGGTAGTATTTTGCGAAGTTTCGAGCTCATGCAAGCTGATGAAATGAGATTTATATTAAGATTTTAAGAATTTCATCGGTCCTTCGCGCTATTCGTGTAAAATTATTAATTTCATTGCGTGCACCTTTACGCATCTCTTTTTGCAGTAAGGCGTTCTGTAAGAGATTATTTAGGAAAATACCATTATTTTCTCTTTTTTTAACATTTCGAGTATTTGCTTTCAGATCTGTCATGTGAACACAGAGTCTTTTTTGGCGTACCCTGCAACCCGATGTTTCACACTGCCAATCAGCAAACAGAAAAACACTTTTACGCAGACTCAACAGCTCGCGTAGTTTCGAGTATCTTCCTTCCGTGTCGGTCTCAAGCGGTTATGTGAACTTTTAAAGTAATATTTATTGATCATTATAAAAATATATTACATTGCTAACTGAATATTTGACAACATAAATAAATGGCCAACCACCCAAAAGCTATGCCCCCCAAAATTATTTGAACTGTGTTCTGCCAATCTTTTCCGGCGTTTGTATCCTCGACAGGCGCGTTGAAGGTTATTTGGGACAGCTTTACATACATTTCTGATTTTGAAGCTAATTTAAACAACAATTTGTACCTCACATATATAACTTCTTAAACATATAGAAGCCTGTTATTGCCTCTTCTATGTGGTAAACATTGCTTTAATGTGTCTCTGGGCTGGACAAAAACAAAGTAAACAGGGGCGCGCGGCTGAACCATGACGATTACGCACGCAAACTGTCAACCGTCCTGTCTATTTTCTGTCCCTTCTACGCTAGTCAGAAAATATCCAATTAAGTAGCTGCCATGCCGAGAAAAACTTTAAATACTACTTCGTTTTACTTAATAAAGAAGGTACTTTGGGGGACGCTTAAGCTTCGGCTTTAAAATCGCCTCCTTACTTGCCGCGCAAGCGTGTTTCGCTTGCCTAGTCAGGAGCGTCTGACTCGCAACCGAAGGGTCGTGGGATCGAATCCCTCCTAAAATTCTTTTTCTTTAAGGCAAAGAGAAATTATTAGAGACATACGGCGACCTGCAATTCACGTTACATGTCATGTTTTAATCACTTTCATTCCATGCGTGATGTCACGTTTCACGTGAGCATTGTGAGTTGTTTGAAATTCTTGAGCGAGGGCATGTAGCCCTGACGTCATGACCTTATCGACCATTCAGGATTTTCCAGTCACGCCACCGAAATCGGCTTTTCTGCGACATGAGCTTCTCAGTGCTATTGCGTTAAAATAATCAATTAGCAAGGGTGATGCTCATTTGCAAATTAAATTGACCGGCCTCTTGTCAAGAGCAAACCTCAATAGCCAGGCTATGCCAGCTTATCCTGTATAAGAAAACGTTAACTAACGTGGGCAAGCGCTATTTTGGGCCAGATTCGATCTGAGTGCGAATGTGCATATAGATTAGACTGAACAATTTTGATTGCTCCTTGCTGCATGATTAGTCGCATGCATTGCGGTGCGGAGTGTAAGCAATGTTTGGTTAAAACAACAAGCATTTTGATTGACGCTCGGCATTTCTTTAAAAAATAGACTGAAAGGATTATCCTAGAACTTTCGTGACATTTTGAAAATTTCATTGCTTTTTGCTTAGTTGTGTCGTCATCATATACATATATATATTGTGAAACATATTTAGTAAACAATATTTCACGATATATGTGGCCACGAGGCGCCCATTTAATAATTTTGTGCAGTAATTAATTCCTTAGTTCGAGGACACAATCACTATTTAACTTTTAATCAGGGTGTCGAACCGGAACCGAACCGAACCGAAAACCGGAACCGAACCGGTATTTTTTCGGGAACTGGACCCGAACCCGAGCCGTTATATTGTTATCGCAATGAACCCGAACCAGAACTGAACCGGAAAAAAAATAACGGTTACCGGCTCATGTCAAAACGGTTCGGCCACGCGCTGTTGACAATGAATGTGCTATCAATGCCTTTTGTTTTTTAAGTGCCGTCAACTGACACACACCTCGCTTACATATTTTTCTTCTCCACTCAGTCTTAGGAACATAAACGCTGCATCCATGAATCTTGACAAAAGCTGCATCCGTGAATCTTGACATAGGAACCAGTATTGCGCTGGTTGCGGCTTGCACGGAAGAAAAAAAATTGGAAGGCTGTGCAAAAAAAAAAATTGCGTCACGGGATTTTATTTTCCTACAATCTCGTAAATCCTAAATGCTGCTGTGTGCTCATTTCATAACACGTTTCTAGAATGCGCGAGTTCTTGAAGCTTGCATCCATCGGAATGAGAAAAGAAAAGGCTGTGGAGTTTGATAATAATGCATCCGGTTTCGTATAGGCACTTAGAAGCTAACATATTTGTGAGACAGCGAACTCTTCTATTTTAATATTTATCCTATTACGTCCTTCTGGCGTTGCATTCGGTGAAGTGTTTTTCATATTCCGTATCTTGTTTAATGAAAACTTCTTTAAGGGTCTAATTTGAGTTACCGAAGGCTAGTTCAGATAAAGAAAGCTGTATTTTCTCCCCACTGTTCCTTCAATTGCTTACACGCCGAAGTGGCGGGATAGTTAGCGAGTTCTACTTGTAAGTGGGTTTGTAGGGAGGTTGCGGATTTTACAGCTACTGCGTCGGACCCAATTAGATGAAGTCCGAATGCGTAAACGTCAGTGAGGTAACCTTTGAGTTCACATAAAGAAACCATTCCTGGTAGAAATCCCTGAGCCTTACACTACGATGTATCCCGTTTCGTGTGTGCTGATTTCAGATGTTTTATTTGTAATTTATTTTGATGTTGCAATTTGACATTTATAATTTCCGAACCGGTTCGCGAACCGGTTCGCGGATCGAATTAATCGAACCCGAACTGAACCGGAACAAAATAAATTTACCTGAACCTGAACCGTAACCGAACCCGTATTTTTTTCGGTTCGACACACTGCTTTTAATACTGCGACACAAAGTTGTACCAATCAAGGGTATTTTTGGTGACCATGCCACACTTGGCGTAAACGTTTTATACTGTGTGAATAAATCAGCTTGAATTTTAGAATTTTACTTAAACACAAAGAAAGGACAGGAAAAGACAGTATAGTTCTAAATTCCAAGCTGATCAATTTACAGGTATGTACCAACAAGCTCAGCTCCTTACTGTTATACTGAAACATTTGGATTCAGGTAAATATATGTTACTGGTAATGTGTATGTTATGTCGTATGAACACGCCGTTATGTATGTTAAGAAATTTAAAAAAAAAATGAATTTCATACTTTTGGTATTTGAAAAAAAAAAGTTAATTGCACAGATGAGAGGAGAAACTATATAGTTGATTGTTTCACGGCGTAAATAGTGTATAGTGTCAGAACAACGCGGAAAATATATTATCAATTTAGCGGTTCAAACCGGTTCGAACCGGTTTGAACCATTATTTTTTGCTCCCCGGAACTGAACCGGAACCGAACCGAAAGCCGTGAACCCGAACCGGAACCGAACCGATAAAAGTTTCGGTTCGACACTCTGGATGCGACGAAACCCTGCAGCTAGCCCCCTCCCCTCCATCCTTCTCCCCCTCACAGACAAAAAGCAGAAGAAAATACGGAGGTTTCGCTTCTTGTTGCTCACAGCGGCGTTGCTGCATGGCCGGGCTTATGCAGCCATAGCCTTGGCTATTGAAATGCGCTCGAGGAGCGAGGGAGAGAGAGAGGGCGAGGGAGAGTAAAGGAGAGGAGGCGCACCATGGTATAAGGTGGACAGAAAGGGAAAGAGTTTTTGCAGGGGTACTTATGTATACACCAGGCCTGCAACCTAGGGGCGCAAGTAGTCAGATGAATGCAGAGGATGGGTGAATAGATCAATATGGCTGGCTCCTTTGAATCGGGCGACAGTTTGCGCCACCTGACCGGTGTTCTGTGGCGAACGTGCAGCCCTGGTGACTTGCCTGGCATTGTCGTTGCTCGCGGCGGTGGCTCGCAGTGGTGCTCGCTTCATTATATTTGGTCTTTAGCCGTTTCGCTCGTCTCCACCGTTCGTTTCTTGTCCCCATTTTGCAACGGTGTCAGCGAGGTATTGTTTTGAATTTGTGAGGATGTCGACAAAGCTTCGGTTACAATGACATATCCGAAAGGTCTCACAATGACTAAGTTTTTGGCATCGCGCTGTGATTGAGCTGAGGGTGCTGTAAATAAAGGTTTGTTTCATTCTTTTGCCCAAACTTTTCTCTTTTACTAAAAAAAAAAAAGTCAACCTATATTTTAATTTTTTTTTTTTTTTTTTTGGCAAGGTTAGTATGACGGCATTGACCTGTATCTGCAAGTTCTGTTTTTAGAGATCAATAAATAAAGCATGTCCGGTGCTTGGACACAAATGTCAGTGTACAAAAAATTCTGTATGTAAAACTAATAAAGGCTAAGTTGGACGAGCGCGTGCAGAGTGGAGTGGCAAAAAGCAAAAACCTCCATATTGTGGCACCGCCAAGTTTGCTCGCTCGTTCTAGTGGGTGACAAGCTCCGCCCATTTGCCACAGTCTAGGTATAAACAGCTCTGCTCTTGTAGCAAGTCGATCAGGCCAAATTTCAAATGTGTGCACCGGCCTGTGGAATAGAGATGGAAGGATTTCTGACACCTGCCTTGCTTCACCGTAGCGGGGCTCCAGGGACGTTCATCCAGCGGCTGCTGCGGCGCAAGCCGAAGGTTCCCACACCAGATTTCTAGATGCGTTGAAGTGGGTGGCACCTCCTTGCCCGCTGCTTTGGTGAACGGAAATAAACTGAGGTTAAAAAGAGTCCACTGTGCAAAGTTCTTTTGTATAGGGCAGGGGTGGCCAGGCTGACCTGGCCTAAGCTGCAAACAAAACCACGGAACTTCTAAGAGCCGCGGGGGAGGGGGGGAGGCAAACCTTTTGTCCAAAGCAGTAAACGAAGCTCGAACTACTTTCAATCTATCCGAGTGAAGAGCAGTCCAGCTCTGCGTAAGGTAGCAGCAGCACAAGGGTACCAAACCGCAACCTGCCTTTCGATTTAAAATGCGTTCCATGTCTCTTTTTGTCGAAGTGCTCATGTGACCAGGAGGAAGGTGGGCAGGAGTGGGGGGGGTAGGGGCGGGAGCCACGAGCCGCAATTTAACACGCAAAGGGCCGCAGCTTGGCCACCCCTGGTATAGGACAAGTCAATACATAAGTCGAAAATTTACACAAACAAAACAACTTCAAATTCGGCACCCATTCTTCGCCGTTACATGGTAGCAACTATGGGCGAGATATCAAAACCAATGCTATCGGCGACGTGCGCGATCAAAAGGGTTTACTGGTTTTTAATTTGCACCGAACCTGAACGCACTGCACGTAGTAACTTAATTAAACTTTTCTTTTCTCGAATTTCGCTTTATTTAAAAATTTATGGGTAAATTAAAATTACAAAAACAAACCAAAAATAACCTCCGTCATGACGTCCCTGGTCACTTGAGTGGCCGTGAACTAGACGAGGGGTAGTGAGCTCATCGAGCGCTCACGGCTGCCGCACTCCGTGTCGACGGCTCGAGAGGGCGCCACTAAAGCATGCTATGGATCGGCTGTATGAAGCGGGCCTCCAAGGCAGCTCGCATTGCATTTGCTGCGCGATTAAGCACTAATTCTGCATGCCACTTCACAAACTGGCCACAAACGACAGCAAACACGGGGTAAAGATCAGTTCAGAACGGGAGCCACTTCGTGCTGCCATACCGCCAAAGGACCGAACCGCAAGCCACCTGCTTGCAGAAGGCCTTCGAACGCTTGGAACTGGTCGGCCCCTTGCGTACACCTGGGACCTCTCTACGCTTGCCGCTCGTCAGTGCCTCATCCCACTACACCTTTCTAGTATGCGCCGCCTTTTCCACCACTTGGTGGCAGATATTTCGATGGGTCATTTCTTGTTTCCATACTTATAAACTGCATCTGTTTCTTTTCCGATCTAAAATTCTGAACAAAAATTACATTTATAAACAACTGAAACGGTTCGCGCCACATATATTTTGTATTTCGACTAAAAAGAAGCTTTTAGCGGCGCTGACCAGTACTAAGCCCAGGACCAAAAACCTTGCATTTTGCGCACTTTCGACACTGCGGATCGCGTCGTCTGGTAAAAATATGACACACTGATATTTAGTTACACTCTCCGTGCCTGCTGGCTTGCCCGAACCCCAAAAGATGTGGAAACAGCAGAAAAGGTGGACGCTTAAATATGACTGCAGGGCCCCTTTAAAGCTCATGTGGGGCACATTGCTTTTTTAATTTTTTCCTTGAAAAAAAAACAACAAAAAAACATTTGCGCACTGTTTACATTGTTAGATGGAATTCAGGTGCAGCATAGCTAGCTATGCTCCATTTCTCAGCGCTTGCTCTTAAGGGAACAGCGGCAGGACACTTGGCAGCTCATTGCAGGTAGTGCAGTGCAGCTTTTAACAGCACAACCATTCTGGCCAGTAACAACAATCCTCATGCACGCGAGATGCTAGATGCGCTCGCTATTGAGAAACACGTGGACGATTGCATCAGTACCCCATCAATCACCGTTCACATAAAGGAAAGACAATACCTACGAAATGCCACGCCCCGAACAACAACAGCACGAGCTTGTGGTGGGTTAGTTTAAAAAACAATTGTTGTTTAGGGAATTCTGCGTAATTGTTCTGTATCATTTGTATAAGTGTAAATATTGGTAGTGATCTTTATTAGTGCAATAGGTTTATTCATGTAATAGGTCATCATGCTCTACTTTAGACTCCAAATGAAGAAGCAAATGTGCAAGGAAGAAGTGTACACTAAAACACTGTTGGTAGTCAGTTGTTTGTCCTTTCAGGTCCTTTCTTTCTTCAAGTTCAAGTTAATTCTAAAGTTCAAGCTGATATTTTTACAAGTCTCTACCTTTTCTTTAGCATTAATGAACCAAAAAAATGTATATAAAAAAAAAACAACTATGCTGTGTAAACAAACGACTATGCTATGTAAACAAGCAAAACGTTTTGTGAATACTCTCTAAATGTTGAGGGATGTAAATATGGCGTTCTTCAAAATCAACTTTTTTGCAGATTTTTTTTTTCTGGGTAGGTAGAGATTGAGGGATCTTTGACACTTGCCTAGCTTCATCTCGAGGGGAAGAGCACCCCATGGATGTTCTTGCAGTGGCTGCTGCAATGAAGGCAGACTGTTGAAATTCCCAGACCAGATTCCTCTGTCTGTCTGGGGAGGTGGCATCTCTTCCGGCACTCCTTGGGCGAAGGAATGTTGTGCTGCAGAGAAACAAAAAGGGACCCACTGTACACCTTTCCAACACTTATTGCCCAAGAGAAAAATGCTGAGTCACTGGGCTTTGGTCGTGTGCGCGGCATCCGATGATCCGCTGAAGAGAACTACACATGCTTGGAATACATTCATTCCAAAAACTAGTAGAAAAAGGCAGCTGAGCACACACAAATGGTAATATTGGAATGGTCTCTACAACAATTATAATATGTCTCTACAAGCCCTTCGGCGTACGTCTGAAATGAGAATAACAAAGCTGACATTCAATGTTTTTTTTTTTTTTTTACTGGAAATCGATCATCACATTTCTCTCATTCCGAGGCCCATACAGCATGAACGAGGCCCACGGGCCTCCTTTCTCGCAAACCGATCTTGCAGCATGTGGAAAGAACCTTAGAAATGATAATTCAGCCATAACCTGTGACCAACGTTACAAGAACCTTGAGTTGAGAAAATCACCAATGAAACCTGAGCCGCTGGCATCCACTGAGACCGAGCTAAATACGACAACAGCGCCACTTTTTATCATTTGTCTTTACTGTGGTCACCTTGAGCTTTTAGAAAGCATGTTTTTGCGTAAAAAACTTTTTGTAGTAACTTTTAGTGGAGTTTAGTACAAAATAAAGGCGCATGATGTTTTCTGAAATCTTTAGTTTGCAAGGTTACGCATCACAATTAATATTGTTTTTATACAACCATGCCTCAGCGATGATTTCAGGTAGCGCGTTCCGACCTAGGTGCATCATAACTTCAGTGGTATTTCGCGGCGCGTCCACTTGGGAGAAGGGGGTGGCACCCCTGAAACCCCTTCTACTATATCTGTTTCGGCTCCGAAATGGACAATTAAAGCCAAAATAGATGTCACGTGCAGTTCCTGAAGTAGCCGCTGCGGGAGGAATGGCGGTGTTGCGATCGCCATTAGCTCGGTTGTCGAGTACGGATCGGTGCCACTATTTCAGACCAGTCTCTATAAGAGTTTCCCAACTGAGTGGTTCTAGTAACGTTGCCTTTGAGACAATAACATTAACTGCATTGCGAATGTAACCGTTACATTTCATGTACATTTATGTATGGCAAATCACAATATCATAAAAATACTTTTTCTGGACTTCTAGGCAAGCTCTGCGCAGAGAAAGGCTCTTGGAGCACTGCTAGGTACATCGAAAGCATGTTAGATCGCTACAGGGGCATGATTGACTACAGCATTTCACATGTCAGGTGACTTCAACTTGGCTGGCACAGCTGGCTTAGATTTAGATGCCTTATTTCAATCAGCGAGCTGTCTTTTTTTCCATCGTAGAAGCAGTTCAGCTTCTCAAAACTTGGAAAAGTGGTGCTTTAACATATCCCATTGCAAGAGATTTAACACCACATGGTTACCATTACTCCAACATACAAGGACACACATGTAAAAGAAGCAAAAGCTATATAAAGACATATGTCTCAGAACTCGATAAACCATACACACTAGAATTAACGAAAAACAAAGAGACTGTCTATCTCCTTCCGTTCACAAACATATCCCATCTCGACTTGCTTCATGGGCAAAACACCAAAGGTGCATGAGCCCGGCTTTGACTGGCACAAGCACCTTTAATCCTTTCCCTACCATGGACGACCTGGGTTCGTCCACACTGTTTGTACTGCTCCCCCCCTAAGACGAGCTGGGCTCGTCCACATTGATTTGGGCTCCAATACGCTACCATGGACAAACTGAGCTAGTCCACGTGTTTCTAGTTAGCTTTGCCGTGGATAGGTGGCACTTCACGGAAAATAAAAACGTGGCAAATCTCTGAATTTGGCAGAAAATCGTTCTAGTGGAGGCAACAGGGGATTTAGAAATAGCGGCGCCAACTTCTGGTCGCTGCATCGTAGTGATGATCTTGCCTCGAAGGTGGGGCAAAAACAAAGATATTGTGACATCTCTGCAGATTTGGAAGACGAGGAAATGAATCTTTCACTGGACAGTGAGAGCGAAGCGACTGAGTTATTGAATTTTAGCTCAGACGACTCCGATTTTAAAGAGGACATCATGTTGGCATTGGACCAGAATCAAGGTAAAAAATCCCCCTCCAGCCCCTCCACGTTTTGTGTTCACTTTGCGTGCAAGGTAATGTGTGGCAGCAGAACTGCTACACACGGCCTGAACATGCATGTGCAAGGTGATGTGAACTGTCTGCGGTAATGGAGTAAAGCCGAACTTTAGTCTCCTTTTATTTTGCAGTGTGTTCAAAGATTTCTATATAATAAATTTTTAGGTGTTTGTTTTTGGCTTTTGTATTGCATGTTAAATTTATAGGGCACATAAAAAAATCAATATTTTCAAAGGTTTTTTCAAAATTTTTACAGTAGGCAAAAAGTTTAATGGCTACAAAGACCCCTTTTTGTTAGTGGTTTGGAGGTAAAATAAATAAATAATTACATAGATGTGAGAATGGGATGTCTCGTGAAAAGTGACTGCTTTGTCTCGCTGTCACTTGCCTGCCACAATACAAAAGTGAAGGAAACGCAAAATGCCGCCTTGAAGCGTCACCGTATCAAAGAATTCAGTGTGAGACAAGTGCACACAGTAACAGATAGCTAACAATCAAATAACACAGCCCAACAAAGAACTTTCAGGCGATGAGCGAATTCAGAAAACAGTCACGAAAATTGTCACTTGAACACATATCAGCACACTAGCACAAGCAAAAAGAACTGGTAGAGAGCAGATTCAGTGTTGCTTGCCAGCAGCTCTCCCTCATCACATTTTTTTTTGAGGCGCCGGCCCCGTCCTGCAAAGTTCAGAAGACAGTGAGTGCCCGATTTAAAGCCAGGCTCATGAAATGAGCACCACAGTGTGTGACACAAACATAACACATCAGTTTATATGGACTTGGGCTAAACGACAGGAAATAGCAATGGCAATTACAGTAACGGTATGAAAAAAAAAAAAAGAGTGATGAAAGAATGGGTGTACAGATACACAGATGGTACAATGGACCTTTTCCAGTAAGCTTCTGCACATGCACAAACCCTCTTCACTGCCAGCAGCGTGGATTTCAGCTGCTGCTGGAAAAAAGAAAAGAGTCCTTGTTCGTTACATCTCGTGCTAACTTTCTGGTCAAGTTTCCGCATTTCCATTCAGTCCAATCTTGAAATATCCAACTTTTGGAGTAGAGACCGAACTGAACAGAACACTTTGCATATTAATCTTTCATATTCAGTCATGAGGGCTAGCAAGTAAGGCACAGAGCTTGCCAGCCCGTGTAAAAATGCTGTTACTCAAGGTTAGGTTTTAGCAAGTCACGAGAAACATGCTCACGTGTGTCGAAAGACTCCCAGCACACACACAGGATCAAGCAAGTACCCATTTTTGGCTCTATTTTTAACACACACACTCACAAGTTTTATTATACTGATTATCACCCCATTTCGGTTCATTGTTTTAGTTATATCTGCCTAGCCTCCAAAAAGGCTGGTGCAATAGAAGCCTCATCTCCGTGACAGAGAATTGAAGTTTGAGAAATGGCACTACCAAAAGGCTCAACCTTAACATTGTTAACAAGCTTGATATAGATCACCTCAGTTAAAATTAAAAGCACTGGCTAGGCAGCATAACCTGCCACCAGATTCAAAGAGGTGACTGGTCTATTCATGCATATCTATCCAGCCCAGTACTATGTGGCATTGTGGCATGCAGTGCACATGAGCTAAATCCATCTTCAATTTTGCAAATGAAAAAATGCAAAAAAGTGTGGGTGTTCACAACAGCCTCATGTTATCTGCACTTCTTTCACTGCCATGATTAAACTTGAAACCTTGTTCTGGCTTATGGGGGCAAGAAGCTTGGTAAGCAAGATTTGGGACTAAAAAAACATTACTCCATATTTTTTTGTTTTGTGTCATGCTTTCAAAGACAACTATGTATTTCCCAGTGTATAAGATGCATCTGTGTATAAGATGCACCTCCCACTTTTTGCATGTTTCTAAGTAAAAATTTGTGTATAGGACGCACCTGTGTATAAGATGCACCACCAAAAAATTGTGGAAAAAAAGTGTGTCTTATGTATGAGACGCATCGTTGTATAGGACGCACCCCCCACTTTTCGCAAGTTTCATTAGTATATAAGACACACCTGTGTATAAGACTTACCGCCGAAAATTTTGGAAAAAAAGGGTGTCTTGTGCATTAGAAAATATGGTAGTCAATTGTTTCGAATAAAAAACGTTCTCACAAAGGCAGAACTTTTGCTGACATTTGTCAGTCAAGTTACGTTGGTATGAGGCTTGGATTCTGTTTTGAATGCTCAGATGGTTTTCGTTGGAACTACAGGGACCTATACGGTGAGCAAGTCGTCCAAAACACGTCCCTTCGCGCACGAGAGATGGGAAGCACAAAAAAGTGAGGTGTCTCCGCACACGAGAAAGGGTTCGGAAAGGTGAGAAAAAGCGATCACGCATGGAGTGAAGCTCTGCCCCATTAGACATAAAGTGACAAGAGTGGCAAGACATAAAGTGACCAGACATCCAGATTTAGGCAGGACAGGTCCTGCTGTCACTAGCGTGTTCGTAGGACAGTGCTTTGACCTGCTTTGGCTCCCTCCAAACCCAAAATAGATAAAAGAAGCAGTTTAACAAAAGGGTAGTTTCTCTGATCAACGAACAAGATATGGATGCCGGAGAGGATGCATGGCAAAAGACCACACTTAAAGGGACACAGACACCTCCAATATGTTTGTTTCATTGTTTGCCTGCCAGATGATTCATTAGGGTGTCAGAAAACTGCCCCATCAATATTTGCTACAGCATCACATGTATATTTAATAAAACTAAAAAAAAGCAACTGCTCGAAACTGAAACAAAAACTGGACTGGGAGAGGAAGAAATATAGAGGAGAGAGTTGGCCGAAGTCACGTGACTGTGCAACTATAGTATTTGCGGTTTTACAAATGGGTATCACATTCCTTTCCTATTTTTAATACCGAGTGTGTGCCTTCGATGATCGACGACTATGATTATATTTGGTGGTTGTGTCTAAACCACAGAAAACGGCACGTGACCACGGAGGCGACAATGAGCGCGACTCAAACCGGCCAGTTCTCGACCGGCGGTTTTTGGGCGCAGAAAGAAAGCAAACTTCGAGCAGCAAACTGTGTTCTAAGAAGTTGGGCTCTTATATGTCATGTACGAATAAAAACCTTAATGAGCATAAACACCCTCTTAGTGTCCTGTTTAAGTGATGCCGACGTCAAAGGTTAATTTGTGCATGACATGTGAACAGTAGTATTAATGTAGTATCTATACAAGGATGAGGAAGTTATCATTAAAGAAATCTTCTAAGCAAATGATTTAGATGTGTACACCAAACAGTATGCGAACTGCGAGGGAAAGAAATGTGCATGGTGTCACAAGCTGTAACACACGGGGTGCCTAGCCTCGTGATATAATCGCAGCGCTGGATTGGCTGGGATGGCTTGTGGCACCTGCTGCTGTCTATCGTAAGGAGAAACAGAGCTGCTCGTTCACAAAAAAAAGTACCCTTTTAGCAGTTTCACCTTCCCTTTTTATCAAAGGCTAATGTCTTGTTTCTAAAGGACACATGGATTCCCGAATGCCATAGGAAAGGCAAGGCTAGCCATTTTTATGACTAGCAGACGACGCACCTTAACCCCTTAAAGGAGCTGTGCAACAGTTTCAGTGCTTTGCTTAAAAAATTTGGGAGTTGATGTTTCGACCTTTCTGAAGTAAAGAACAGAAATCCGCTTTTGCCTGCATGTCCTAGTTTTTTTTTTAAATGGACAAAGATTGAGGTTTTTGGCACCTCTCAACCCCTTCACCATCTTTCAAGTCACGTGCGCTGTGACGTCAATGGGGGTCGTGCGGGGTTCCAGTTAAGCTCTCTCTCTAGAGCCATCAGTGAGCAGCGAGAACTCATCCGCTCGCGACCGCATGACCAAATGCTGGCACAGTGCGAACAATATGGCGAAAGGAAAAAAGACTCATCCGGGTCCGGCCATACCCATCCAGCTCTGTCCCCCTCCCCCTCCGGCTTCTGGCGGCTGTTCGCGGTAGCGGATGGAGCTGACGGTTTTATGGACCTAGGATAGATGGTGCCACTAAAACTCCGTATAATAAAAGATTTGTCGATGATACCAGGTTTTTGACACATTTATGTTCATGTTGGAACAACAAGATTTATAGAAAAGTTACCTTTTATCGAGCACGTATTTGCACAACTTG